TTATGGGATCCACACACGTCCGATAGACCTATGGTACACATATACGCGATTTACATCCGACTTATCTCTCTATCCGGGAGAGATTACCTATGCCCTCTTCCGGTCCGCGTGTAACACCTCCGTTCACGACCCAGGGACCACCGTTCATATCCTGGAACTCTCCTCAGGAACTCTCCTTAAACCCTGGGATTTACTTTCAAGGCCTTACGTGTCCTGGAGTACATCGTTACCTCCCCTGAGGCTGTCCAGTACCGATTAAGGTACCTTTACAAAATAAGTATGAGGACTTATTCGGGACACTACGGCTTGCCTTATCCGCCCTTTGGGTGACTCACCCCTGACCCTCGGCTTCTTGCCTTTGGCATAACTTACTCTCCACTCCACTGTGCCAATCTCCCCCTTCCCCCTGCCGTAGAAACCTCTCACTGCCTCGTTACCCAGTATTACCTAAGCGGGAAATCTAACAGTAGCCGGTACCACTGGCGGAAAACGTGCATATGCCCTGCGTACGTGACGGTGTGTCCCTCTTATTATTCCGGTCTGGACGTGTGTTTAGAGAAGTGCATCTGTGTCTCATACGGTCATGCTAGTAAACGTTACGCCATAGGAGACGGGCAAACAAGCCGTCTGTGCCTCACAATGCCCTGTGCCAATATTGGTGGAGTAATTATTGGCGCTAACTCGCAAGAACGCGAATAACAGAAACGCATTATTGATCCAAACCTAATCGTAATCTCAAGTCCTAATTGCTGCTGCACGCGTGAACCTAATCATCAGTTCTCGTATACAATCCTAGCAGGCCTTGAACTTCTCTTGATTTAATCAGATGATATGGAACCAATTAGTACGCACCGATCAATCGTCTGGTTGTGATCCACCGTATCATATTAAATTACTTGATGCTCAAACGGAAATGACTCCTTGAAACTCGTTCGATAGCTTCTGATGGGCTACTAGTTACCTGTACAAATTATCTTTATAGAGTGCCAGAATATTGTCATAGGGGTCCCTAGCCCTTCCTAGAAAATCAAATTTTAATCATCCTATCAGCAGTAAACAATGCACATTAAACGAACTGCAGTCTAGTTATTACATAGCATGTCGTATTTATAATTATGCAGTAACTGTTAACGTTCTTATCCCGTGGCAACTTTCCACAACTAACCATGTTCCTATACCTACGATGACCTTCACCTACCGCACGCGCCCAATTACGGTTAGCCCACTGCCCTATACTGTGGCCGCTGCTCCACTCCCGACGCTGCTCTCATGTGCCATCTAGCGGCGCACGGTCCCGCGTCGCGAACGACGATTACCACGGCTGCCGGCCGGCGCCGCGTCGACAGTCGACAGTTGTCAAGGCCGCGCCGCGATGGGCGCGTCATCACTCGCGGTGCAGTACTGGTGTGTGCGGTCTATTCGGGCCGGGTAGATTCAACGAATGTGTCAGTGAGTGTGAATCTGGTAAAATATCGCTGCAATATCTCCCTGTTCGACATCTCACCAGCTTCATTCCACGTAAGTTTTTTTTTTCTAGCTCCGTATCCCCTTCGATCTTTCCAAAAGATATGATTTTTCTAGTATTTATTCTATAAAAGCACAACGATCGGTACCTATATTAGTCGCATATTAGTTCTAACCCCAAACAATTCTACATCTACCTATTACTCCACATTTCGCAACTACAATGACGCAAAGTACAAGGACCATCTAAAGTCGCAAAGTGTCAGACCGTCGACCTCAAACCACTACTCTCAACTCTGCACCTAAGTAACAGAAGAAATTCCGCCGTAAGCCCAAGCATTCATATCTGTTGAAAATCATAACTCATAGCCATATTCATAGATCGATTGCATGAATCAGTCGCCACCTTAAAATAGTACATTCCTTTTCAACCGTATTTACCTGTTCTATAATTGACTTCGACTTCGCAATTAATTCCTAAAGCAATATTACCAATGATTTCGCAATGCAACTTTTAGTGAGTACAGCATGAATCTACACCCTTAATTTCACAAACTTCCCAACCTCAAATCTTAATCGCACCTGACTACCGCCGATAATAAATCAACGAACCAGCTTGACCAAACACAAAGACATATTCATTATCCAATGCTGACATGCATCATGTCATCAATCTCAACGTTCGTGACAATGAGCTGCTTATTCAAATTTTAGCATCTCGCTCCCGGCCTAATCGTGAACTCCAACTGACAATAACGTACCTATTTACTGGCGGCTCTGACATGACCTTCCCAATTCAGATCCTAATATGCTACTAGGGTGTCTGGACCAATAAGTTCAAAGTAATTTAAGTTTTCCAATTCCAATTGAGAGTGCATTTTATGGCAACCGAAAATGTTTGGCAGTCGTCACGGCACGGCAGGCTGGGCAAGGGGGGGGGGGCAAGGATTGGGATTGAGCAGACTTTTCAGCAGCACTCACATTCTGGAGTTCCTCTGCGCTCGAACTGAAGAGACTTCTCGCGGGTGACCCCGGACTGACGGCGGCTCCCAGATGGCGTCTCCGGCTCCGGCTGCAGACTGTGACTCTCGGCTGCTCGACTGTGATTCCCTCTCTGGTTGGGTGGTGCACCCTTTTATAGTTGGGGGGGAGGGGTGACTGCCACGCCCTTGCGACGTCATCTTCCTCTGCCTTCTTCTGGTGGTTGGGGCCGTAAGATGGCGCCCTCTGTCCTGTTTAGTCACCTTGCTCCTCCGTGCCTGCAATTTTTGGCCGTCGAATCGTCTTCGTGTTGAGTGCTTTATCATTTTGGTAGTTGCTGACATAAACCAATCCCCGAAAGGTTGGTGATTTTCGAGTTTTAATTTTGATTCTTCAATTTCATTTTATTCAACTTTTTGTTTCCTTCCGTTTCGTCTGCCGGCAACGCCCCTTGTGACGTCACTCTTGCTCCGCCCACTGACGTCATCTTGGTTTGGAGGGTCCGTAGAACAGCGCCTTCTGTCCGCGGTGGGGACGTCCTGAACTACGTTTGTTTCGGACAACAGCGCTTTCTGTCCGCAGTGGAGACGTCCTGAACTACGTCTGCTTCGGAGGCTGTTTGCTAAGTCTAGCGGATTCCTTTGCAGTGAGACGCACTGTTGTGCTACCATGGCTACGTGAGACCCAATGTGCTACGTGCCTTAAGCCTGCGCGTGGTCTCACAGTGTGCCGACGTTTGCTTGTAGCTTCAGCTGCTTTGTAATGACTACCAATGACTCATCCTGATGTGACTGTCTTCAGAGGTGCTTGTCTTAATTGGAGTTTAATGGCGGCCCATTCTGTGCGGACAGTGAGAAATGATTGGGAAGGGTGGACCTGGGGACGGGTGGGAGGAGGGAGGGAATAATGACAAGGGAGGGAAGCGTGCGGCAGCGCTCTGCTCAGCTGCGCGTCACCGGGCCGGCCGTGCCGAAAAGATACTACGTTAGATGTTCAAGATATAGCGTGCTACACTACTTCATTATAATTAGTTATAGGCCAACATTAAAACAAGATCGGTTCTAGAATTCCGTCAGATCAAATCACACATTCAGTAAAAACAAAAATTGATTCTCGCGCACTTTAACCGCCACCCGTATTGGTGTTTTGCCAGCCGCGAACGCATTAGGGGGAGGGGCGTCCGTTGAAATCCCCCTTGCCGTTTGGTCCCTGATCGAACTTGAGCTTTGCAGAAAAAAACGAGCGTGCTGCCCGTGACGAGAGGAAGCCGATGATACTTAGTTTTAAGGAAGGGCCTAAGTCATTGGTTGATCTTCCAGGTCAGGTCAATGACCCAAAAGTTGGGAAAATCGGGACCTGTTAGAACGTCTTAACCCGCGCCCCACTGGGGGTACTGGATTTCCACGCCCTGCTGGGGGGGGGGGGTGTTTGAACAGCCCCCTTCTAACTCGGCTCCTGGGGCACGTAGCGATACGCGGAAGGCGGCGTTCGGAAGAGCATCAAAAACAATCGGTGCACACATAAGTATACACACAGACACACACAGACATACAAATGACGAAATCACTTTGGTCACTTTTTTGATCACGTCAAAGGTCAGGTCACCAGAGGTCATTGAAGGTAAAATTTTACCGATTTTCAGGTCGAATGTCGACAATTTCCAAGAAGCCAACGCATTATTCGGGAACCAATAGAGCTACAGTGCCGCGGAATAGTGCACTCCGACAGCTTTATTAACGCTCTTTCTGGATCTTATCTCAGATTTGACCTAACGTCAACGGTTCTGCCTGCAGGAGGCAAAAACTGCCAAAATAACCGATTTTCTCGGAAACAGTTTTTCTGCAATAACTTTTGACCCAAGCCCTGCATGTGGTTACTTTTACCGGCATCGTGTTTTTCTCGTCAAGACACATCGAATGAACAAAAACATGACCTTGAAAGGTCAAATTGAAAATTTGACCTCAGGTCAAGGTCATGACTTGACCGAAAATTGTATGTTGCATATCAGTCGATCCGTATTGTCGAGCTGAACACATCTAAGGCGTCTTCAACGCTCTAGCATGCCTCTATCAAAAGGTATTTGCAAAAAATGTTAGATACCATTCGTGACATGAGATGACCTCAGGGGCATACACAGGGGTCACGGACATCATTTTCATGTTCAGTGTGTCTAAGTTAGGGGAGAGTGGGGAAAGATGCCCAGGGTCTTGCAATGTCATATAGTATTCGAAAATGACGATCGGAAAGCAAAAACTTGGAGTTTCAACGGAAGCTGACATCATTTTTTTCCCAAAAAATATCACGCTTTCGTGCCTGAAATATGATAACTTTTTTGCTATTAAGCATTTTCCTGAAGAAGTGAAAGGGGGCATATTACCCAAGAGGGTGGGAAAGACGCCCCCTGGAGTTGGGGAAGATGCCCCCTGCAGGCAGTGTTACAGTGACGCCTGTCAGTGCTGCCGTTCACTGTGAGGCGCTCGGCGCCGTGCTGTGCTGCGCTGTGCTGAGCTGTACTGCGCTGTGCTGTGCTGCGCTGTGACGTCGCTGCGCTCCAGGCTGATCCCAGAGTCGGTGGCCTGGCTGGTGGAGCAGCGGCTGCGGCGGCGCGCCCGACACGTGGTCTGCCGGCTGGTCCGGTGCAACGGTCAGCCAGTCAGCACCGAGCTGCTCGCCCACCTGGATCAGGTGGCCGAGCGGCTGTGCGCGGCCGAGCACGGACCGGCCACGGACCGGCGCATCCGCCGCCGCGCCCCGGCGCTACTCGCCGTCTGGTACGTGAGACGCGGCCTGAACGGCCAGGCCGTCACTTATCACTTGATTCACCGATGGTGAATTTTATTTGTCAGACGGGGCCGGGTTCAGGCTGCTTTTTGAAAGGGTAGGCTCAATATTTCGTGTACAGTAGGTCTACAAAATAAGTCCTCTCCGTATGCGAGCATGTGGCTCCCGAGTAGCGCTCAGGCGCTAACTGCCCACTGCCGCATACGGCGGGGACTCAGTAGACCTGCTGTACTTAAAAGGGAGAACTTGAACGAGATGTGTCCAGCATTTACGGAGCCCGGTTCGGCTGCCGCCTTTACTGAGCTGCTCAGTTTGTGTTCGGTGACGACTGGCAGTGGCGGCTGACAGCGGCGGCCGCCGGCCGGCGGCAGGCTGTGTTTGGCAGTGAGCTCGGCCGGAGCGCGGGCGCGGCCGCTGCCGCTCGGCCCGGCCGGCCGGCTGGCGAGGAGCGCCGCTGAGGGCGCCGCGCACGCCGCCGGCGCGCTGCTGGCGCTGCTGCTGACCGGCCGGCTGCGGCGCCGCACCTGTCTGGCGGCTGCGCTGACCAGCTCCGCGGCGCTGCTGGCCGCCACCGCCACCGCCCACACTCTCCTCGACGGTGAGCGCGGCGCGGCCGCGGGCGCTGGCCGATACCGCTGCTGTGCTGCATGTTTTGTTGATTTTTATATGTCCACGTGCGCTGTGGGCTCCGTAAATTGATCGCGGCGGCTGTGCTGTAGCGGCTGTTGATTCCCAGCTGTGTCGTAGCCCGGGGGTGCTGTTTCACCCCCGGCTGTGCGGTAGGTGGTGTGTGATCCCCGGCTGTACCCCGATACTGCTGTTTGATCCCCGACTGTGCCCCGATACTGCTGTGTGATCCCCGACTGTTACTGCTGTATGATCCCCGACTGTGATGTAGCTGCTGTTTGATGCCCGACTGTGCCGTATAGGTGCCGCTGTGGACGTACCCGCGCTGGTGGCCTCGCTGCTCCTGCTGGGCCGGGCGGTGGACGTCTGCAGCCGCTGCTGCCTGCTGCTCAGCACAGTCGAGCTGGCGCCGGCGTCGCGGCGCGGCCTGCTGCTCGGCGGCGCCCTGCTGGCGGCTGGCAGCGGACCGCTGCTGGCGCCCCGCCTGCCGCCGCTCATGGTCAGTAGAGTCAGTCTGGCACCCTGGCTGTCCCGCTTGTCAATGGGTCCGGCTGTCCCCGCCTCTACCTTTCTGGTGATGATGGCTCTCCTAGTCGCGATTCTGCCACAACTGCCCATTCTTTTGTATAGCCAGGCCATGGGTGCCCACCGGAGCCGTGTCCCGGTCCGCGGGTGTGGCGATAGCCTCTGATTAAGGCTGCCTCTGACTTGGCGCGTGTGACCGGCAGGCGAGCCACCCGGCCTGGAGCCAGCCCCTGGTGCTGGCCGGTGTGTCGGTGGCGGGCGCTCTGCTCGCGCTGCTGCTGCCCGACGGCTCCCGGCAGCCGGCCACCAGCCCGCCACTGCACTCACAGGCCGGGCGCCACCACTCAGAGTCGTCGGGCGCCGACACCGCAGAGCGCTACCAGACGGGGGACGGACGGCGGCGCCGGCCCGGCGCGGCAGCCAGCTCGCTCTGCTCGTGCAGCTGCCGGAGCTCAGACGCCGGCGTCGCGTCCGTGCTGCTGACGGCCGACAACGTCACGCTGCGGCCCGTGTACGGCGGCGCCGGCAGCGCGTCCTGCTCGTGCGGCCAGCTGTGCCCGCAGTGCGCGCACAGCCTGCGGCGGCCGGGCGGCCCGCTCGGCGGCGCCCGGAGCCCTGCGGCCGCGGCCCGGTACGCTGCGCCGCCCTGCCGTGCGGGCCCGTCCCTCGGCGGCGGCGTCGAGCGCCGGGTGGTGGACGGCAGGATCGTGACGGTCCGCCGGCGCGCTGACGAGCCGGCCGTGTCGCGGCCCGGCGCGGCGCAGGCGCAGACGGTCGGCAGCCACGGCCTGTTCGGCTGGTCGACGCAGAGGCGGCAGCTGGAGAACTACGATCATAGAGAGGCCCGGCCCGGTGCTGCGGCTCACAGGGACGGTGACGGCGGCGCCCAGGGCCCGCCGCAGGGTCTGATGCGACTCGTCATCTCCCGAGTGGGCGCGTGAACACGCCTGCCAAGCACTGCGCCGATGCAGGCGGCCGGGCTGGGTGATCATCTGATGGCAGGGCCCGTGGAAGGGACCGGCACCCCCCACTCCCCAGACATCTCTGCTGCGTGGGAACACACAGTGAGCCTGCCGACATTGTCATAACCGAAATACATGTTTCGAGCGTCAAATGCCACCTCGAAAGATCCGTTCATCAGCAGACACTGAGACAGACGAGAGGCTGATGGATGTTTGGTAAAGACGGCGCTGTTTCTTGTCTTGTATTGGTCCGCCTCTGGCAGCAGTTCACACCGCGCTGTCCCCTACCGCCGGCCGGTCGTCGCGCGTGCGCCCTGACAGCGGTCGCCCGTCATAGGGGCGGAGCCGCCCACCGCAATATCCGACACGAGGGGCGGGGTAGAACCCAGCCCCACGTGGATAATGACGCCTGTGCTGCTCCCGTGATAGCCGACTGACAGAACGACCCGAACAGAGCGTACCCGCTAAGTCCACACGAGTCAGTCTTTAAGTAAGTCTTTGTCGGGAGAGGTGCGCGCTCCAGAGACCCAGGGTGAACTGCCCGCGGTCCAGGACTGCAAGTGTCATCTCCAGCCGAGAGCCCACCCATTACTGGTTTGAACCAGTATCGTTACTGCTTCGAACCAGTTTGGAGCAGCTCCCGCCCAGTGATATGCAGTATGTATCCACAGTCAGTTCGTTTCCGCCGTGCGTGTCATCTGAGTGGGCGGTGGGCACCGCCCCCTTTGAATATTTGTATAGTCTTAATTAATAGTACCACGTAACAATGCGTTGGATCCATCAAGCCTGACCGAGATAGAGCCTGCTATAATTTGAAAGTCTACGAACCAATTGACCTGGGGAATGGACGAGGATGTCAATTGCTTCGGTGCACCGGATTCTCGCATAAATACCGTTTCAGCGCCTTAAAAAACTCCCTACACTCCTCGGTGAATACATAAGGCACGTCCCAGTAAACATGCCGACGTCGGCCCGACGTCGGGGTGACGTCGGCAACTCGGCATCGACATGCCGACGTCGGCCCGACGTCGGTCCAACCTCGGCACGACGTCGGCTGGATGTCGGATATGCCCGCATGTTCCGACGTCCAGCCGAGGTCCAGCCGACGTCGGGCCGACTTCGGACCGAGATCAATTGCTGAGGTCCAGCCGACGTCGGGGCGACGTCGGACCGACATCGGCCGCTGTTTTGACCGTTAAAATAATATACAATACATGTTTCATGTTTCATAAAGAGCTCCATATCCTCAAGAAACTCAAATCTTCCTCCACGCCGCAACCCCCTGATCCGGACTGGACGGGAAACTTTATCCCATTTGGGATTGCCCGTAAGCCGAGCTCGCCCGTAGCCGGGTGCGGTGAGTGCTTGGGGCTGCTCGGCCTATCCTTTGGTCAGGCTCAGCCCCGGCAACTCACCAGGGCCGGGCCCAGTTCATATAGAAAGGCCAGTCGGCAAGTGTCACTTTGCCAAAGTGCCACTTATCAAAGGGACTATTTGGGAAACGTTGGTGGCTGGTGCAGGTGTGTAAGAGTGGCTATATGAATCCATTGTGGGGTCGCCCTTTCCAATAAGTGTCACGTAACAGCAATGGGACCAGGGACTCTATATGAACTGGACCCAGGGTGCTCGCCAAGAAGACCAATGTCTCCATCCTATGATCCTTCCGGCTCTGAAATGGTCTTGTCAGACCGAAAGGGCATAACCCAACAAAACAAACCAAATTCGTTAGCTGGCTGCGTGGTGCAGTGGTTAGCGCACTTATCTCACGTTCGAATGTCACGGGGTTCGAATCCCATCGCCGGCTGATGCTTTTGGCGTGTTGTCCCAGTAAACAATAAACATGCCGACGTCGGCGACTGGGGGGCTCGAATCCCGCCGCCGGTTGATATTTTTGGCGCGTTGTCCCAATAAACATGCCGACGTCGGCCCCGTCGGTCCTACGACAAACGATCTCGTCAACCTCGGCAAACGATGGCTTGGTTCGGCTGACCGGGAGAGGTGCCTAGACATAGCCCAGACATTTGGGCTGTGCACCAATCCCAGGACGTTCGTCATGCCTATATATGTTGCACATATGTGAAATACAGATGAGATGAGATGAGACGATCTCGGCCCGACGTCGGCTCGACGTCGGCTGGACTTCGGCTGGACGTCGGAACATGCGGGCATATCCGACGTCCAGCCGATGTCGGGCCGAGGTTGAACCGACGTTGGGCCGACGTCGGGCCGACGTCGGCATGTTTACTGGGGTTCTTCTTCAGTAAGTTCAGTAAGGGTCGTGAGAGGGCCGCAAAACCCGGTACGAAGTGCTTGTAGAAGCTGGCCAAGCCTAGGAAAGCTCTTAGCTCTGTCTTATTGGCCGGTTCTGCTATTTGGACGATTCTGAGCCAAAGGGTTTCGCAGAATACCAGCCAAGGGTGTCATTTCATGTTGTCTGATTTGAATAGGGAAAATGGCTCAGACCACCTACCAGTCTCAACGAATTCCATTGGTGGTCTTGGATGAAACCGGTCTCATATGACCATCGTAGTTGGCCTTATCTTAAGCCAGCTTCTGATCTCAGCCACTATCTGGCCTATTCGGATGCCGATTGCAGGTCTCAAAATTTGCTGTCGCGGGCGCGCAGCCCCGCCCTGCCTCGCGGCGAAATAGCCGCCTAAAATACAATCACGCTTTCTTCTCAAATGTATTAGCCGCGTATTAGTCGCGTCGTGCCGCCCCATTCCAACACAAAGTTCAGTGCAGTAGCATTATAAGCGCGGCGACAATTTGTAGTTCCGTCGTGCCGCGCGCTGCCGACCCGATCAGCACAGGCCCTAGCCCTCTCTAGCACAAAGCTAGTTCAGTGCAGTAGAAATGGGCGCGGCGAAAGCAGTCGCGTCGTGCCGCGGTTCCCCAACCAAAGAACACTCGTCACTCACCCCGGACGCCGCTACACCGTGGTGAACGCGCGGTTGTGCGAAATGTCTTCTCCCACAGAGCGAAATTCCTCGGCAGCCACTGTCTCTTGGTTCTTCAATTTGTAGAGGTTGGGAAGATCGTCATCTTCTTCAGAGGCCGAAGTCATCACAATGACCACTGCCCTTCCAATCTTGATCTCAACGAAATCTTACTGTAGCGAAAAATTAAAAGGTTACTGAATACTGATCATCACTGACTTCAGCAAGCGTGCTGTTTCCTCTGTTATCATGCATAATATTCTATGTATATGTATACAGAGGCCGTTTTCACGACGGAACTTTCGCGGTGGAACCTATTTGATACCTACCTGAAAAGTACCAATCGTTTAAGGCCTTAGAATCCTTACAACTAAAGTCTTTTGTCTTCAAAATATTTTTAAAAGTTGTAACCCAGGCGATTTTGGCCATCAAATCGCTTATTTATTTACAAACAAGTCAATTTTCGGTTCTAGTAGCCCACGTTTCGACTATGAGGGATCAAATCAGCCTGGCAACTAGCGGCTTCTGTTTCACCGGCCCGACGCTGCGCGCGCCCTGGTGGTGACCGGGCGCAACAAATCCGCCGCCGCCTTAGCAGTGGCATTGACTTCCGCCGTCTGCTGCGGTTCCAAAGTCAAGCCAGCGTGGAATTGGGATAGCTCGGTCAGCCATGGTGCAGCCCGAGCACATCAAATCCGCCGCCGCCTTAGCAGTGACATTGACTTCCGCCGTCTGCTGCGACTCCAAAGCCAAGCCAGCGTGGAATTGGGAGAGCTCGGTCACCCGCAGCTGGCAGCTCAGTATATTTCCTTATCATTGTACTAGCATTATATAGATGTGCTAATTTCATAAACGTGCTTATGCTTTAGGTTTACGTGAGTGGTAAACCCTTAGATAACATAAATTAATGTAATATTAAGTAGAAAAGCAGCAAAGTAACGGGCCACTTATTCGAAAGATAGAAAACCTACTACAAAGAACCTTTAAAATTCCTGAGGCATCAAAGGAAACTACTAAAATTCCTGAGGTAGGGGAGAGTGGGGAAAGATGCCCAGGGTTTTACTATGTCATATATTATTCGAAAATGACGACCGGAAAGCAAAAATTTGGAGTTTCAACGGAAGCCGACATCATTTTTTTCCAAAAATATCACACTTTCGTGCCTGAAATATGATAATTTTTTTTTGCTATTAAGCATTTTCCTGAAGAAGTGAAAGGGGGCATCTTACCCCACAGGGTGGGAAAGACGCCCCCTGGCGTTGGGGAAGATGCCCCCTGCACTATAAGTGACATAAATGGGCACGTGAATCGCCTGAATGAATCAGTAGTCCCTTCGAACCTGCAGTAGACACCAAACGTCATCGCAAGGGCCCTCGGCTCAAAAGTAGTCGAAAGGGGCTTCAGAGGTCATCGTTAGGGCCATCATAGTCCAGCACGGCCAAACAAGCCTCCGTGGTGGCGTTCGGAGACCACTGTGGGGCCCTTATAGGTCTTCATGATGCTTGAGGGCCCTCGAGCCCATCGTGGGGACCTCAGATGCCAGCGCGGCCCGTGGAGCCAACGTGGGAGCCCTCAAAGGATGTCGTGAGGGGCCCTGGGGCCAATAATGGGGCCCACAGAGGCCGTCGTGAGGGCTCTCAGAGTCAGATGCCGCCCAAAAAGTCGCTGTGTGGGCCGAGAGACCGGCAGGGGGAGCACCCGACCGTACTGGACTCTCAATAGTCCCAGATCGGCTTTTGTCTCTCATCACAAGTATGTAATAAATGATTTGACGGGCTGCTTGAAGGACAGCCTAGTGATTTAGGGGGGCATCTTTCCCCATCAGGACAGGGGGCATCTTACCCAAAGGTACCGAAGTAACATTAAATCAGTACAATTTGTTAGCCATAAAACTACACCCTGAAACAAACTGTTTGGGACACAGTACACGCATGTAAATGTATCACGACTATAGCAACCCAGTAAACATGCCGACGTCGGGGTGACGTCGGCAACTCGGCATCGACATGCCGACGTCGGTCCAACCTCGGCACGACGTCGGCTGGATGTCGGATATGCCCGCATGTACCGACGTCCAGCCGAGGTCCAGCGACGTCGGACCGAGATCAATTGCTGAGGTCCAGCCGACGTCGGGGCGACGTCGGACCGACATCGGCCGCTGTTTTGACCGTTAAAATAATATAAAATACATGTTTCATGTTTCATAAAGAGCTTCTGTATTCAAAATATCCTCAGGAAACTCAAATCTTCCTCCACGCCGCAACCCCCTGATCCGGACTGGACGGGAAACTTTATCCCATTTGGGATTG